TATATATCTCTTATAACTGATCCTACTCGTCGATATAGAGCTACTAGTAGGGTCCTATTAAGGGAGCCTTTAACGACTATTCTAGAGACCCTATAGAGAATTAGCGTCGTAGAGATCTCTCGGTCGTCCTAATAATCGTTAATAGAAACAGCGCTAGTATACCGCAATTGCCTTATTATTATATATATACTATACAAATTTTACCGTACACAAACTTTATCGTAACAGACTAGGACACAGGTCTGTCACGCAAGAAACTCAATTTAGACATTCGGCCGTAAAATGAAAGATTCGTATCTCCCAGCATCCCTATACCAATGATCGGATCAGCACACCACAACACCCTGGTATCTTGCACCCAAGTCTCGGGAACCAGCTCATTTCATGCCGTGGGAAAGCTCGGCTCTCGCGTTGGATCTGAAGAAGGCATAAGTTAAAGACTGCTGAGTCCGGATGTAAAGAGTTTGTGACAAATTCGGGAGGTAGTACTGTACATACAACATCTGCAAGTGCTGGCTACTACAGCGATGGAGAAGAGAAAGATGCTGGAGTTTGAATCTTCGCAGGGGTGGGTGTTGCACGGGGAGGCACCGAGCCGAAATAATAGCCACAAAGCTTCGTCTCAGTTGGGATTCTATTCATAATAATTGCAGCCTCGGTCCAAATCCATGCTTTGTTCCAAAGCGGCCATCGCAGGAGCGCGCTGCCGAAATCGTCAGTCCAGATGTCCCCATGATATCCGTATTGCTTCGCAGGTCTGACCTATTCGCTCTGAGTGACATATGCTCCGATTGCTGCGTCAAATGCCATGCTGAACTCGTTCAGCAGTAGAGGTGCAGCCTCTCTGTATGCGCCGGAAAGTTTGGAAGCAATGGCGTTTCCAAGGGCGATGGTCAAAGCCTTTTCATCCGTGAGGGTGGTTTGAACTTGCTTGCTGACGCTGAAGAGGCCAATGACGACTCGGTCAAAAGCCGGTCTTTTGGCAGCGATGTTCTTCAGCAAGCCTTCGACGTCGGGTCGCAAGGAGATGACGGCAGCGGAGACGGCTTCTGAGTCCTGCGCGCTCAGCTGCGAAGAAGCCTGTGCAACGCGCGTTGCATATTCCACAGCATGTCCGAGGTCGTCGGCAGCTTGGTTGATGTTGACAGCGTCCAAAGTGCCAGTGGAAGGATTGCCATTGAAAGCCACCACGCGTTGGTTCACATATCTGACGTGCGACTGCACGAGCTGTAGTGCTGGAACAATCTTCGCTGCTTGACCAGAAACAGCTGTGAAGCAATTGACCAGCGCGACGACCAGGAGGAGCTGCATTGTCTGTCGGCCGAGAGAAGGCGATTGGTGATTCTGCGAGGGAATAAATCGAGTCGGCGCTGCCTGGATCGTCGGGTATGTAGTCAGGAGGGACTATAGAACCTGTAGGTAGATGGTGAGTCGTGCGCAAACGTCAGGAAAAGGGTTGTTTCACAGGCTTGCTGGATAGGAACTTAGTAGTAAGGAAGCCCCGTGACCGCAAGTCTTCGCCCTCGGTCCTCCCATCCATCCATAATTGCAATGTCGAATCCAACTGCGCACGGGGCATTTTTCCAATTTCGCGTAACAGGGATGACGCCCGATGAGTTTACATGCACGCGGGAGTTGGGTTGCGTCTACTCGCTCGCTGGTGGACTGGAAGTTCTTATTATTATAATAATCCACCGCGTTCGAAGGTAGACATACCGGTCGGCAAAGAAGGACGTGTAGACAGGTCAACTAATCCAGCGATGACTGTCTTTAAACCGCATTTCTAGTAGACGGCTGTACCTCCCAAGACAGGCAGACCGCGCTTGGACTACCCATAGATCAAATGGCACGTAGCAACCCCATCGTGTTTCCACCGGAACGTGAAGTAGACGAGTCGGTGGAAGAATCGGTTGCTGGATCGTATTAAGCAACCACTGAGACCCATTGATTGATCCACCGGGTTGCGGGTAGACGCACTCTCATCATGCGTTCGCCGTAAGTACGCGGAGAACCTTGAGAAAAGCTTAAAGCAGGCATGGGCGCGAATACACCAGTAATAAAAGGCATGCTGAGCCGGATCTACCGACAACATGACGCGAGAGTGTCCTTTTCCCGATACAGCACTTCGGATGAAGTATTCTCGGGTCGCAGTATTATTCATCACCACCATACCATACCGGTATGCCCAGTGTGCAAAGAAAGATCTCATGGCAGAGATGACGCATGATTGAGTGCCTTGGGCATTTATGTGGGTTGTTCGCATGAGGTGCTGCAGTACTGTATTGGGCCACCACTTACGTCCGGTAGCACCACCGGCAAGCTTCACCGATGAGTTCGTCGGAGCCAACCTCGTGATTCCACCAGAGAGCAGGCGAGAGATGCTCGGGTGACGCATCCAAATGCATCTCAGATATTCTCCGCCTTCCGACAAAGACCAAAATCAGGACATGCCAGGGCGAGACAGAGCCACTGCAGGTTCGGGTACGAATGGATGTGCGTACCTTGCAGGGATTGATGCATGTTCTTCCGAACAACGCGACTATTCGATTCAGCAAACGTCGAAAGGTAGCCAGGCAGTCATGTCAGAATATTTGTAGGCGCGCGCGTCTCTCCTCAGTAGCTTCAAAGCGTAACTCTTCCCCAAGCTCCGTCGGTTCGATTTGAGCAAGCGAATGATTATGAAGTTCTCGCTCCTATGCTTCGCCTTTGGCGCCTTGGCAGCCACTATTGAGACACGAGACGCTGCCGTGATAGTGAAAGATGTCCAAGCGGTGACTAACGCCGTGAAGGACGCTGACACGACCGTCACTAGCTTTAGCGGCAACGCCGACGCCGAGAACTTGAAGAGCAAGCTGGACGCTATCTATAGCGCGCTTTCCCAAGGTGCCACTGATGCCAAAGCTTCCGGTGATATCTCTCAGGAAGATGCGCTTGGTCTTGCATCTCCCGTCCAGGATTTGGCAAAGGCTGTCCAGCAAGCGGTTACGGACCTCACTGGCATGAAGAGCGCGATCATTTCCGCGGGTATCGCCCAAGATGTGTATCGGAAGCTCACCGAGTCCGATGCGGCACAGAATGACTTTGTGAGTCACATTGACAAGGTCACTGCCTCAGACACCTGCTGACCATGACCTTCGGCTTGCAGGTGAGCGCCGTGCTTGCGAAAGTCCCCCCAACACTTGCTGCGGTTGCGACAGGACTCGTCAAACCAGTCCAGGACAGTTTGGCCAGCGCTATCGCGGAATTCAAAGACGCTGGTGGCCCTTCGTCTGGAAGTGTTTCGGCAAGCTCATCTCCAGCTCCAGCCGCAGCGCCGGCTCCTGCCCCAGCACTGGAAAGTGGTAAGATGATGGCCGCCATCTAAGGAAAAGAGCTGAACTGACATGTTTAGCAGGTAACAGCTCAACATCAGCACCAGGTGAGCAGTCCATGCCAGTAATTCAGTGCTCAGCCTGAGCTAATGTGGTGAACAGCGGAGACTCCGACGACTCCATCGTCAAGCGCTCCATCTTCGAGTGCGGCCCCGGAAGCTTCAGCACCAAGCTACGGAGGAAGTAACACCACTACTGGAACGTTTACACCAACACCTTATACAGGTGCAGCAGTCCAGAGCGCAGGAAAAGCCTCCGTGGCTGTCGTTGCTTTGGCAGTGATTGCAGGACTCTATTTGTAGATTTCAACAAGAGCAAAGGAAGTGAAGCATGCTTACACGTATAAATGGGAGAGCAAAGCCCGAGTGGCATGGCATAGCACTGCCATAGCTGTTGTCTACCACCATCAAGCTTTCCTTTTCCAGCGCGCAGAATGCAGTCATGTATGTTATCTTCGCCACTGGCAGTCACATATCTCTTTCTTCCGTCGATCCGCATCTCACGTGGAGTCCCCAGTGTGCGATGGCATAGGATGGTCGGTCTGAGGTCTTCGGGAATGGTTTCGAGATGCGAGACTGTATGTAGTCGAACGAACGGTGTGTTGCAGGATAATGGTTCGTCCGTCTTCCGTGCTTGGCGCGTCTTCAGGTCGCTCTTATCACTGGAAACAGCTTGTCCTTGTCATCATGGCAATAATAGATTGTGTTTGTTTGGCATACACATGTTGCGCATCAGCTACACATTCCGAGTAATCCATGCGCCTGGAGTCCAAGCGATCGCGGTATGCCTCCGTGATGACAAAGAAAGCGGAACAGCCCGCCTCGCACTCCTTCTCTACTACATACCGCAGCGCCCTACACACATATACAGATACACCTACTCACAAAATGCCCTACCTACACACCGATACACCTACCAAGTCCAACATACGACGACCAGTCGAATTCTACGCGTTCCACCCGAATTTTGGCCTCGCAACAAAGACTGCATTCCAATCACATAAGGTTGCGCTGGGTATTCCGCTCTCTTTGTCATCCCAAAGCCATGCCTCGGCCCTCCCTCGAGAATAATGCAGGCAGTAAGCTTGTTGTTTCCATCACTTGTCCTCCTCCTCCCGAGTAGTCCAGACCGTGACACCGTGTCGCAGCTCATCCGGGCTTACAGTAAGCGGGAGATGAGGCAGCATTTTCAAGGATCTGCCACGCAGCACCCAGATTTGACTTTCCACAGAGCCCGGGCAACGGATTGCACGGTACAACAGTACGGTAAGCATACACAACTTATATAATAATAACAACCAGCTCTTCATCATCCTCATCATGTCAAATCTCATCATCAATCAAACAAAACTTCCAAAACCATGTCTGCATCTAATAATCACAACAACAATGAACAGTACGAAGTAATCGTAATAGGAGCCGGTACGCGCGGCGCCCCAAAACCTTCCCCCCTAGTAGAATACATCATCAACTAACCCACTACTGCAGGAATCTGCGGCCTCTCATCCGCAAAATCCTACCTCCACTGCTCCCCAAACACCTCCCTCCTCATCCTCGACGACCACAAAACGCTAGGCGGCGTCTGGTCCCAAGAAAACATCTACCCGGCCCTACGCACCAACAACCATCGCGGAACCTTCGAACTCCCGGATTTTCCCTTTTCGGACAAGTATGGAATCCCACCCGGCGCGCACCCGACGGGGGCGGCGATGCATCAGTATTTTTGCGATTACGCGGAAAAGTTTGGGTTGGTGAGGTGTTTGCGGTTAGAGACGCGAGTGACGGCGGTGGAAAAAGGGCAAGGCGGGTGGAGGGTGAGTGTGGAGAGTAGTAGTACTGCGGGGGGAAAATATGAGGTTTTCACGGAGAAATTGATTATAGCCGTGGGGTTGACGTCCAAACCGTTGAAAATGACAGTACGCGGTCAAGATTCGTATGGAGCGCCGCATCTCCACGCGGGGAGTTTGGCGCGAGAAGTTCCGGAGTTGGTGGAGGAGGGGAAGGTGGAACGGGTGACGGTGTATGGAGGGTCGAAGTTTGCGTGGGACAGTGTGTATGCGTTTGCTTCGCGGGGGAAGGAGGTGGATTGGGTGATTGCGAAATCCGGGCATGGGTCGACGTGGATTCTCAATGTGACGATGGTTTTACCGATATTTGGGACGATCTGGGCGGAACGGTTGGTTACCACGCGGTTTATTGACTGGTTTTCACCGAGTGTGTTTGGGGGGTTGGATGGGAGTGGGTGGTGGAGATGGATCCTGCATAGCACGAGGGTTGGTCGGAAAATCGTGGCTGGGTTCTGGAAGACAGTGCAAAAGGACATGTTGGAGCAAAGTGGGTTCAACGCTCATCCCAGCCTCGAGAAGGTGAAACCCGATTGCGAACTGTTCGATATCGCTACGAGCTTCTCCACGCTCAACTATCCCACTAACATCCTCGACTACATCGCGTCGGGACAAGTGAAAGTGCACCGAGAAGACATTTCGCACATGTCCGACCACAAGATCCATCTCAAAAACGGCACCGAACTTCGGTCCGACGCTTTCATCGCAAGCTCAGGTTGGGACTGGCGGCCGAAATTCGACCTGAAGCCCGAGAGCATGCATGCAGAGTTCGGAGTTCCAAGCCAAAATTACAGCCCAGAAGAAAAACAACTCTGGGAAGCGTACGATCGCAAAGCCGATGCCGAAATCTTCCGTCGCTTTCCCATGCTGAGGAATAGAAAGTACCCGCCCGTCGCGCACGAAGAGCGGAAAGCCAACCCCCTCGACGCTCTGAGCGGCAAACAGGAAAAATACGAGCCTCAACGCCTGTACCGCTGTATCGCTCCCCCCGGACTCGCAGCGCGAGGCGATCGAAGTTTGGCGTTTTCTCAACCCAACAACGTATCGCATGCCATCACGGACGAATTGGCGGGACTTTGGATTTATGCGTATCTGAACGACAAGCTGAGTATCGATCCGCAGCGAGATTTGGGTATGGACGAAGTCTACTATTCTGCTGCATTGTACCAGCGGTGGAGCTGGAGGAGACATCCTTATGGTTTTGGGCAGCGGTGGGTTGATATGATGTGGGATGCTGTGCCGTATCATGATGTTTTGTTGAAAGATCTGGGCTTGACCCCGACGAGAAAGCCAGGGTGGGGTCCTCTGCGGTGGTTTAGGGAGGCGTTTGTGCCATATACCACGGCGGATTACAGAGGGGTTGCTGACGAGTGGCTGGCGAAGCAGAAGATGAAGTCGGTCTGAGGAGGCGAGATGGCACTTATGATCGGCCTGTAAGCCAATTCCAGAAGCCCTGACTTTCTTCACTTCTTTCGGCTCCAGGAACTGTCTGTTCTTCCTTCCTCGAGCTATGATATTCTTCCAGTATTCTGATCGTTTCAGCATTGCAGCCGCTTTCTCGAGCATAGTCTAAAATACTTGAGCCGCGACCATCTCCAGTCCAGATTTGAGCGCCATTCTCCAGAAGTCGCTGGACAACATGGTGATGGTTGAAGGAGACTGCATAGGCAAGCGGGGTCAGTCCTTCATTGCAAGAAATCTCCACCGTGCTGTCATATCGAAGAAGCTTATCGAGCGAAGCAATGTCGCCACGACGCGCAGCATAAGCCAAAGCCGTTCTTCCAAATTTGTCTCGAGCTCGAACATCTGCTGCTGCTCGCAAGAGCTGTCCGACAATGTCTGGTTGGCCATTCTCCACGGCTAGGATCAACGATGTTGCCCCGTATCCGTCTTGTGTGTTTAGAGCGGCTCGGTAGTCGATCAGAAGCTCTACGCACTGCAGAGCGCCAGCCGCAGCTGCAGCCGCGAGAGGCGTACGACCGTGTTCGTCTTGGTTCTCAATGTTCGCGCCCGCTTTCAAAAGTGCCTCTGCTACCGCTACGTGATTGAACCTCACAGTTTGCGATAATGCCGTTCTGCCATCGATGCCCGGGCTGTCCAGTTTAGCTTTCTGCTCGATCAAGTGTAAGACCGCGTCAAGCTGTCCTTGTTCGGCAGCTAGAGCCAGCACCGTACGTCCAAATCTACTCTTCTGCTCTAGCAGTGCTCCTCTTTCCCGAAGCAACTGCAGTGCAGCCATGTTGCCAAGCTGAGCAGCAAGAGCAGCAGGGCTTGCTCCATCTATGTTCTGATGATTCAGATTGGCCCCCGCATCCAGCAGAGGAGGTATGGTGGCCACAGTACCAAAATATGCGGCATGTGAAAGGGCAGTTCCGCCAAATTTGTCCGTGGCTTCAAGATACACACCTGCTGTTACGAGCATCAGGACTGTTTCTGCATCACCAGCGGAAGAAGCTGCAAGTAGAGCTGTCTGCCTGTCACTCTTCTTTTCCGGCACACATTCCTCGAAACTTATGGTGCGATCGACGCCATCCCACCAGCTGTACCGAGCATTCCTATCAGCCCCAGAACCAATGAGAAACATTGCGAGCTCTTGGTGGCCGTAGCGAGCAGCGACGTGCAAGGGTTGGCAGTTCGCGAACTTGTACTGACGATCAGTCAGCGCGCCATAGAGCTTCAAGTCGCTGACAACGCTCCATTGAACCACTCTCCTTGTATTGACTTCAACCCCAGCTTGAAGCAATAATTCGGCAATTTTGACGTCTCCGCTTGCACAGACCGCATGAAGAGCAGACCCTAGACAGCCGCCGAGAGCGTCAGCCTTTGCACGGTGTTGGAGCAACATTTGGACTATGTTCTCGCGACACTTGATCGAGGCCAGACACAGAGGTGTTCCGAAAGTTTCACTCCAAGCGTTGATGTTGACGTCGTGGTCCAGTAATGCCTCAACCGTGTCTTCAAATCCACTTAGGGCAGCGTGATGGAGGGCCGTCATGCCTTCTGAGTCCGCATGCTCTGCATCTGCACCGAGTTCCAAAAGGCGTCGAAGCCTTTTTGTTTGCCCTTCAGCTGCGGCTTCCAAAAGAGAATGGTTCCGCCTTGCGTGTCTCTCGTCATGTTCTCGTTGACTAATAGTATAGTGACTGTGGTAGGTGTTGTAGACGTTGCCATTGTGCTGTCGAGCATTTCCGGAAGCGCTGTTGCCTTCTATGAGAGTCGTCATGATTATCGCTATTATTATCGCCCTGGAGTGTTAGCTACAACCCCACCAGCTCGCTGTCGAGTGTTAGCGCCAAGCAGAATCCTTCAGCTCACGCAGCAGATCTGCAGCAGGGATGTAATCAAGCACCGACTGTACGGTCAGCTTGACGTGAAGGGAAGACGCTGAGCGATGGGATGAGGTCTTGAATTTCGAGCTTTCATGTTCTTCTTCTGGGCCACCGTCATCGGCGCCGCCTAGATGTCACATGCGACTTTCTGCGCTGCTTCTTCAGCTGATAAGTCGCAGAGTGAATTCCACAGTAGCAAAGGTACCGGCGCTGACTGGCATAGCACGCAGCAACGTCGGCCCAAGACCTCTCCAAAACCCAAGCGCGCCGTCGTGCCTGAAAGTGTGGGCAAAGCAATCACGCATCGACTTATACCTCTGCTTCTCCCCGAAAGCATCCGTCTGCATCTTCGACTTGATCACGTCGAAGGGATATGATGCGATCCAAAGCATTTCTCCCGCGAGACCGCCGTAGAGAGCGACTTTCCATGTGGCGACTTCCTTTCGCAAGTAGTTGTTGCGCTTCACATCTTGGTTCATGAGGTACTCGAAGGTCAAGAACCAGAAGCCATATGCTTGTGCTTCTCGCAACAGTGTGACGGAAGTGCCGCGGTAGAGGCCAGCTCCTCCAAGCTTTCGTATGCAGTCCAGAGGTCCGTTATACAATCGACCTGCACCGTGAGGCTGAGTCTGCAGACGGATACGGACGTGCTCGATGGGGGCAGAGAGGAGGGTGTTGGTGAGACCAGCAAAAGCGCCGGCGGCATAGTATTGACCATAGCTCAGCGGGTGTGGCTCGGCGTCCAGAGTTGCCGGAGACTTGTTGAGCTTGGATGCATTTTGGGCCTCGAAAGCTCGTTTGGCATAGTTGAAGGCGGCGAATTGGACGGACACACAAGCACCAATGCCGATCAAGGGAGTCAGCGTGCCCTTGTAGAAGGCAGTTGCACCTTCGTTTTTGAGGATTCGGGTGGCGCAATCCAGCGCGCCCTGGTATTCGGTGGTGGTTTGAAGTCGGACCTTGACGATATCTGCTGGGCATTAGGCATTAGGCATTTTGGGTGGACAGCCGGGCACAGTGGTGCTTACCGAAGGGCTGGCCTAGCGATGATGGTCAGCCAGTCATTCACTCATCGCTGCGAGTGCCACCAAGACTCTTACCAATGAGCACCTGCGCAATCCCACCGACCGCGCCCGCGAACAAATCCTTGGCTACCTTTCCGGCACCGCCCGTCTCGCCCGCCTCCTCCACTGACTCGGACTCGGCCATCGCGACCGAATGACCCTGGCGACGAGCGACTCAATAATAATGTGTCCACGCAAGAACAATGACAGTCGTCGTCGTTCTTCCCTACGAAATTGCGTGCTTACGCCATTGGCTTCGGAAACTGCTTCCGGCTAAAGCAGCCGAGACCCTGAAGCCACCGTGCGCAAACTCCAATCCAGACGAGAAACACAGCGGAGGCGGTGACAGCGACCTCGACCTTATGACGTCGTGCGATAAGATGAAAAAGCATGCACATAGATGTACAATAAGCATGCACATAGTATCACCAAATCCCATCTCCCCTCACCTTCCAACCCTCACCCATAGAACAACCCATCATGTCAGCCCAACCAAAAGAAGACTACCTCGACAAAGGTACCTGTCCTCGTCCTCGTCCTTATCATCAGTCAAAACTAACAACCCACTCCTCCCCAAGCCGTCGACTCCATTGAGAAAAAAATCGGACAGTCGACCGGCCATCCCGTCGACACGAACAAGTATCGTGAGAAGAACGAGAAGTTCACCGATAAGCTTCGAGGCTTGTTTGAGAAGAAGACTGGCAAGAAGGTATCATACCCAGGGGGAGTAGAGTAGAGGAAATGCTGATTTTTGTTTGTGTGTTAGGTTCCTAGTAAGGTGTCGAATTAGGATGGATGGGACGTTATAGGGAGACAGATGAAGTGAGGAGTTGGATATTCTATGATACCCATGAATTCTGTAGCAATGATGAACACGAGGTGACTTCTTTCCTGATCTCCGGACCGCAGGATCTCACCCCTTCGTATAATAATAACCCGGTGTCAGCTTCAGTTACGCACGACACGACAAAGTTGCGAGCCGTCATGGGCGAGACCCAAACGCTCAATGGCGGGCCAAGTTGCTATTGATTATTCGTAAGTCAAGCATTCCGGGTGACGAGTCTTGTCCGGTCGTTGACGACAACATTGCTGTAAATTTTGTAGGCAGCCGTGAACGCTGCTCTGGAGTCTTTAGTATCCAGTGTGCGAACGGTCTGCAGTGCCAGGAGGGCCAGGGAGTATGTGAGGATGTAGCAGAAGTCGTCCATGTCAGGCAACACAGGTGAATCTGGGAACTTCTTTCGCAGACGCTTGACAAGGACAAGAAGATATTATTGAGTGCGTTGCATTGAGCTGATCTACAGCTTTGTGCTCGCACTGTTTGCGTACCGATCTTATACCATCAAAGAAAATCTTCCTCATCACCCTGCTCCCCCTTGCTATAACTAGCAAGAGGTCGTCAACCGCTTTTTGCGACCAGTTAGCCCTACATTTCGGCTGTATAGCGTACATCCAATTCCATAGCTCTTGTGCAACGCTGCTCAGTGTTACAGCCCACAATAAGGCATCCCGCTGGTTGATATGCGCCTAGCAACTATCTCTTTGTGATGCAGGATCTCATTAGCCGCACGCGGCGTCGACACGTCCCACGCATTCTGGTGCGTCCGACATTTATGCGTGTAGCAATCTCATGGGGTAATGGTACAGGGCGTATAGAGCGAATTAGCAGCGAGCGAGGGATGCTCAGGGAGGGAAGCGGACGCCTAAGGACAGATAGTATAGGACCGAACGACGCTCAACTAGTAGCAGGACACCTGAATTGATATGAGGGAGAATGTGGTTGAAATAAGCAGCCGGATGGTAACGGTTGTACCGTTGTAGGGCGTCTTGGGCGTCTTGGCCTCGTCATTATTGTGGTGGTAGCTTATCAGGGCAGGGGTCGAAGGAGTTGAAGCGATCCGCATAGCGAGACACCTGTCAATAGGCAGAGGCACCTAACGTTACCGTGATATGGAACACGACTGCCATGAGGATTATTGATTGTAGCACAGCAAGCGTGACCGTGACCGTGCTAGTGGTAGCGGCTATGCAGATTCAAGGGCCCAGTTCGCTGCTATTCTCGCTATAAGACATTGATCGATAACACCGCGAGGGCCGCCGACGCCATGTCATCGCTCTTAGTGACACTAAATCGAGGAGGCGGTGGCTTGAAAGGGCCGTAGACTCGGACCTGAATAGTAGACTCTGACCGCAGCGTTCCAGTCACCACGCCTGGTCTGGCCTAGGCTGCCTTGCGTCTCCGTGCCACTGCCACATTAACTTATTATTATGCTATACTGCAGCTCAGCCTGAGTCAGGCAGTGTGAGCGAAAGAAAGACACGGTCCCGCGCTTCCGTTGACAAGCATGTGAAGGCGGAGGCTATAAAGTTACAAGCCGGCCAGATGCTGGTAGCACGATCAAGGCCCAAATTACCCAATCGGTGCGAAAGCTTGCCCTTCTCGAGACAACGCTGCTCAGGAACGGGCTTCTCGTAGGCCATGCATGCATGTTGTCAGACAGCCATCTGCCTGCGAGCCTGCGCCTGCTGAAAGACTGGCGCTGCTGAGGATATGTACAGGTACGCGCATCCTCCCCCTTCATCCTCCTACCACTTCTCCCCATAACCCGCGCTACAGGTAGGCTGCCTGCCTCCTTCTCTACCCTCCTACCCATCGTTTTGGCCTTCTTCTACTTGCTTATACCGCTGCCCCTACCCTACCCTACCCTACCCTGTCCTACCCTACCCTGCCCTCGATTTCCGTATACTGCTACAAGCTTTCTTCAAAACGCAAACGCGATTATTGACTTCGTAATCCAATTTCATACCTGCTACCGCGCGAAGCCTCTCCCCTAATGGAGATGAGAAGAAGTGGGGCGAATGCTGGCTAGAAACTAGAAATCAAGTCGTGGTAGCCTGGGAGAACGGGAATGCAAGCAGAAGTTGCGACCATGGCAACACATTGGGGCGTTTTTGAGACACATTCCTCCGCTTCACCAGAGCGATGCATCGCCGACTCGACCTTTAGCACGCCTTCACCGCCTACGCCATCGCATCACATGCATCAGCTTTCGTTGTCACAAGCAGACTTGGCGCGAAGTGGGCATGGCACGAGCTCTTCAAGGGCACCACCTGAAGCAATCAGCATGGTCCAAGACTCAGCACTAATAATCTCTTCGCCACAATCGCCTCCACAACCACCTCGACTATCGTTCTTTCAACGTCATTTCACCAAGCCAATTGATCCAACAGCAGATCCAGAGAAGACTCGCAACAACGCCGACCGACGCTTCTCATTCGCATCTAGAGGTTTCCTCACCTCTGCCGCCGCAGTCGCTGCGATGCTGTTCGGCATCATCGCAGCAGCTGTTGTGTTCACCATCGGCCAACATCGAGCACATGCCGCCCCCGACCTCCCGGTAGTCCTCCATGCGAAGCCGATCAGACTGGCCATCGAGGGTAACTTCCCGGACCCAGCTCTGTTCTACGCGAACGACACATGGCATGCCGTCGCCACCAACAATGCCGCCGGAGTGTTGTCCTTGGAAGGCGCAGACGCCGCGGCGAACTCGATTGCCTTTGGCCAAGCGAATGTGCAGATGGCCACATCGACCGACTTCATCAAGTGGACTCTGGTCAATCTCACACAGCAGCCTCTGCCGACAACTGGCGCATGGGCACAGCGCAGAACGAAGCACCCTGCCAACGAAGCCAAGCCGCTTTCCAGCACCTGGGCACCGGCACTGATCAAGCGAGACGATGGCAAGTACGTCATGTACTATTCTGCCACCTGGACCGGCGAGTATCCATATGCGAAGAACGATGGCCGTCCGACACATCCACAACCGCACTGTGTGGGAGCAGCAGTCTCTGACGGCTTCGACCCTAACGGTCCCTACGAGCCGCTCGATGAGCCCCTCGCATGCCCCATCAAAGAGGGCGGCGCCATCGATCCAGAAGCGATCCGTGACGTGGACGGGTCCATCTGGGTCACATGGAAAGTCGACGGCAACAACATCGGTCGTGGCGGAGTATGCGGCAACACTTTCGATCCTCAAACCCCCACCCCGATCATGATTCAGAAGATGCAGGCCGATGGAGTGACCGCGGTCGACGGCACTCTCACCCAGATTCTCGACCGCACGGATGCAGATGGCCCACTCGTCGAAGCACCAGCACTCGTCCGCACGCGCCAGGGCAAGTACTTCCTATTCTTCTCGTCCGGATGCACGCGATCGTCATCATATTCCGTCAAATACGCCGTCGCCGACAAAGTCACGGGTCCATACGTCCGTGCCAATGAGACGTTGCTCAGCACGGGCATGTATGGTCTCGAGGCACCAGGCTCAGTCGGCATCGCCTCAGACGACCAGGGTGGATACCGCATGGCCTTCCATGCACGCTCGGCCAACAAGCTGATTGGACGAGTGCGGAAGATGTACACCACTACCCTCGAGTTCTCTGGAAACAAAGTGAAGCTCGTCTTCCCAAAGGAATGGAAAGCGCGCAAGCACCATCGCCATCACAAGAGAGGGCGATGAGATGAGATGAGACGTCCAAGATTTCGATTTTTTTTTCTTAGCGGATTTACTGCAGCGTTCAGCGAGTTTTGATGATTGAAAGAAGATACCCATTTTGCGATTGGCATATGGAAACGAAGATGACAGCATGAAGAAACACGCAACGTCTGGCATTAGTGGGAGAAAACAGCACACATAGTGGACGAGCGATACATACATCATATACTACTACACATCATCACATCACATCATTCCCTCTCAACGTCACCGCTCTCTTCGGAGGATAACTCGTAGATAACATAGATTTTGCGATTAGAAACAGGACACAAGATTCCTCGCGCTTTCGAATCATACATACTCCCTCGCAACCCTCAACCTCAACCTAACCTCCCTCTTCGGACAACTCGTCAACCCCAAATCCGTCTGCACCGCTCCCTCCTCCTCCTCCCCCTCAATCCCCTCAATCCCCTCAAACCTCTGCAAAACCCTCACAACCACATACCCCGCCTCGGTAAGTGCAAACTGCTGCCCCAAACAAATCCTCGGCCCGCCATTAAAAGGCAAAAACTCCCACCCACTTTTCCTGCCCGAGAACCGTTCAGGCTTGAATTCCAGCGCGTCCTCACCCCAGAGATCTTTTCTGCGATGCATGACGTGCACGCTGTAGTCGATTGGGGAGCCGGCGGGGATGAAGATGGGGGATGTGCCGTCGGGGCCGCCGCCGCGGGGGAGGGTGGTGGGTTTGTTTGCGGTGCGACTGTTTCCGGGGACGATGGTTCGCAGGCGGAGGACTTCGGAGAGGGTGGATTGGAGGTATTGGCAGGATTTGAGGGTGGAGAAGGTTATGGGGGCTGTGGGGGAGTGGTAGGGGCCGAAGGTGGTGATGATCGTGGAGCGGAGGGTTGAGAAGACATGGGGGTTGCGGAGGAGGAGGTGGAAGAGCCAGGAGAGGAGGGAGGCGGTGGTGTCGCGACCCGCGAGGAGGATGTTCAAGAGTTGGCCGCGGAGTTCGTCGGGGTCGCGGGTCTCTTTGGCGAGGGCTTCGAGGAAGATGAATTTTTCTTTACCGTGATGAGCGCCTTCTTCGGCTTGCTTTTCGTTGCTAGGTTGCTGGAGGGCGAGGTCGACGTAGTACTTGACAAAGTCGTTGACTACTTTGTTGTTGACTTGGTATTCTTTCGGGTTATGCAGCCAGTGAAAGTTCACGAGGCGGAACTTCTTGGCCATGTGGAGTTGTGCCTGGTCGAAATTGATGGCAAATGCGGCTTCGTCGTGTCTCTTTGCAGCAGACTTGTTCTTGGTGATATGCGGGTTCTCAGAAATCTGGCTGTCCACCGACTCGCCGAAGAGCAGTTCGGTCGAAGCATCCATAGTCAAACGGAAGAAGAGTTGCTGGATGTTTGTGAAAGCGGTCCAGCCATCTTCTTGTGCGGGCAGCGCAGCGAAAAGGTTCTGTACGTGACGTTCTTCCATGTCGAGGTCTGAGATCTGCTCTCGAGCGAAGTTTGGTCTCAGCATTGCCCGGCTATGCTCCCACGGCTTACCATCTTGTACGAACTAATAGTGCCCAAGTCAGGACGCACTCCGAGCAAGCGTCAATACCTGACTTACAATGCCTTCGCCGAGAACCTCGCCCATAATGGCATGTCGAATGGGGCCAAGATCGAAATCGGCAAACTGTGTGGCCAGTATCGCTTTGATATTCTCGGGGTCGCTTGTGAAGTAGATAGTCTGACCAAGCTGATACGACGTGAATGTAGAGCAGACTCGACCAGTTTCCTTGTTCATGATATCCTGTCTTTCTTCCAGAAAGTCAGGAAACATGTTCTTCTCATCGGCGGCCTGGAGCAGCTTGACATGTTTGAGACCCAGAAAGCCGCAGTTGGGAAACATTGGTGGGTCCTGGCATCCAAGCTGGCGTGATCTCGCTGCGAAGAGTCAGTAATTGATTGCGGCATTCGTGCTGAAGGTGGAGACCTACAGGCATTCTGGACTCTGGTGACAATGATATTGAGAATCTTGTAGAGGGTGAGAAGCGCTACTCCCAGCAGAGGGATGAGGATGTAGTTCTGCATCTTGCCAATGCGCTGGGTCGTTCGCAGAGTCGGACACGAGAGAAAAGAAGATGAGTTGAGGAGTACGAGTTCGGAGCGGCCAGGCGGAGGCGACCTTTGTAAGAGCTGTTGATCAGGGTCCTATATCAGTCAGCGGAGTATCAGCCCGTTTCGCTTGTTCAGCAGGCGCAGGCGTGGTTTGAGGGGTTGTTCAGCGCCCGGCCGCCGTTGTATGGAACTCAGGTAGGAGAGACTTCATCGCATCGACAACTGTATTTCAACCTGTCTCTAGAGGCACCAATATTGTGAACAAGTCTACTATAACAATAGCAGGATAATCCAGGAGTGCTTATACTGATCTCCTCCAACTCGGCGACAATCCACCGCCTTCACACATAACCAGGCATCCCTCCTCGACCAGTGCCTCTCAATGTCAAAGAACAACTTCCTACAGGAACTAGCAGTCCTAGACTTGGACCATCTGCTTTGTGAACTCTGCAAGACTTCATGTGCCCATCAAATCCAACTGCGCGAAAAGTACAATGTCGGGCGAGACAACAAGTCCTGCAGGAAACACTCGACGGGGGGCTGGAAAGGCTGCTTTTGGCTTTGCTCCAAACACTTAGGTTAGCAGCGACATGTGGATTGATATCGCGAATGCTTCGAACAGTCTCGCCGCATCGCTCGCATTCATCATGGGTCGGAAGTGAGGAGATGCCCTCCGATTTGCATGGTACTTAGCTTCCTCCAAGCTTGGACACAACTCCCAGCAGTGCCCGCTCTGATGAGGTGACGCGAGTAGGCGGCCGATATCTGAATGCTACCCCTTACAGGCCTGAACGTGCTTCTTAAACCACTCACGGTATCTGAAAACTTTACCGCATTGCCCGCACCCAAGAGATGACGAATCGTTTGAACTTGTATCATTACGTGTTGTATCTTGAGACGGCCTGGGCAACAGTCAACAAATCAGAACCTACAAACTTGATCACCCATCCTCGCTCCCGCCTGACTGCCGGCCATCTCTCCGCCCTCTACCACTACCACTACATTGGTTTGGTTGGGACCGACTCACGATTGTCCATTTGCCTGAATTGCCGCAGGTTGCTGCATCTGTCCAGGTGGTGCTTGGTAAGGGCTCGGTTGAGGCGTGCTACTGGAAGGTCTGGGAGCAAGTCCTGGCTGTGGCTGTCTTGGAGGTGGGGCAAATCCATTGACTGGGGTGTGCGGTTGACTGGGATAGTTTACTCCCAGGACCGGCGTTGCTCTACCAGACCCAGGCTGTTGTGGTTGAGGAGGAGCTTGAGCGATTGGTCTCTGTACACCTGTCTGGGGCGTGGGTTGCTGATGCATCGGAGTGGGATAACCTGGCTTGGATGGCGATGCTGTCCGATTCTGATAATACTGCTGTTGCGCTGGACTGTTAGTCTGGTATCCGACCGCATTGGCGGCTGCAGTGTGAGAGCGCTGCTGGTATTGCTGATACTGCTGATTGTTTTGCGACGGATAGTTGGGACGCTGCTGGACTGGAGTTTGCTGATATTGTTGGTTGTAGAGGTAGCCGCCTTGCTGCGGAGGCCGCTGCTGGTGATACTGCTGTGGTTGATGATAGGAAGGTGGGGCGGCGCCTGGGCGGGTGTATTGGTTTTGCGAGAGATATGATGGTCTCGGAGCGGCCGTCGGAGTGGCGTACGATTGGTTGCTCGTTTGTCGTTGTAGAGATGTGGCAGGTGCAGGTGTGCGCTGTCCGTACTGCTGACCATACCGTGTATTTGCTGCCTGCCCTATTGCCGGTGTTCGCTGTGCAGTGGTATTGTAATGCTGTCCGGCAGATGAGTTTGGACGAGCTAGGTTGGCGATGCTGTTAGCTGTGGCTTGAGCTTGTGCTTTGGCAGATCTCGTAACCTGGTCTTCCTCCAGAGTTCCCTTGACATCTTGAGACTGGAATGTAAGCAGCTTGCTAACGCCGAGATCTGATAGCTGGTCTCCATCCAGTTTGGCGACAGCATAAGGGGGCAGCTTCAAGATGAGGTATGCCAGCTCTCGCCGCAAGTTGTTGTACGTGGAGATCTCTTCATCGGACGGCTCGTCAGGCTTCCCAATCTTGGCAGCCGTGAGAGGCGCAGGACTCATGGGTGTGCGTGCAGCTCCGTTCGAGGTGGGAAGCGTAGAGTTGCGGATGCGTTGATGTGAGGCGAGCGTTTCCAGCAATTCTGAGACCTCGCGCAAGACTTGTTCTACATCCGTCTTCATGGTGACGGGCTCTGGATCTGGGGCGACCGCGGTCTTCTCGAGCTCGTCGAGATCTTCTATAACCTTGCCGAAATCCTCCTCCTTGAACTCATCTTCAATCGTCTCCATAGGTGGGTCAGATGTGGAAGTCTCGTCCAGCAGCGCCGGGTCAATTGCGAATGTGTCGTTGAACCGCTTGTTGCCGACCTTATGCCACCAGACCAGATCCTTGACCTCTTCGGGCACAACAGCGTTGGAATCGTCGCGACTTGGCGCGAAGCTGGAGAAGGCTTTGCGGAATAATGCCTCTTCTTGCCTCTTCAATGCTTCCACAGACAGCTCCTTGTCCGGTGTCTCTGCAGTCTCGCCGCTTGTGCTCAACGCGCGATCGCGTTGCTTCCGCCTCTCACGTGGTGAAACTGGCTCTTCACCATCCAAACCGCCATAATCAAGCCACGTGCTGACGGTCAATGGCTGGACCGTGTAGCCACCTTTCTTGTTCCGCTGAATGGGATCTTTGAACTCCCAGGCGAGAGAATTGTCTCGCGTCGATGATCGCTTGTGCGCTTTTGGCGGTTGTAGTGCAGCGAGACTGTATGGTGGAGCGAATGCTTGGTCGAAGGTGGGTCCCTTCTTGGTCTGGTCGGCGGGAGCAGACATGACTTTGGTCGCGGTCAAGCCCGGCGGTAGCGGCATCTCGTCGACAGGCAGCTCCGACTTGACGAAGGTCTGCTGGCTGACATTGCGCGCATTCTGCATAGACGAGAACAACTGCTTCGGGGTTGGTGCATTGCCGAACAAGGTCAACACCGTACCAGCGCGGGCATTAGCCAGGCCTGATTTGGTATCAGCCTCCTGCGCATCTGACAAGCCGCTATCCTCCTTCTTAGGCTTGACATCTTCTGCCCGTTTCGCCTCGATGTACTGTGCTTCCCGATCGACAGTCTCCTTGATCAAATTTTCCAGTGAATGTATGCGATGAATCTGTTTCAGCTCTTCCACAGTTGGTCTGCCGGCATTCCCAGAATTTCGCTCGCTCGCCTTGCTCCTAATTGAGACAGTGAGGTCTTCGCTGACGGTGCTGGCATCGGCCTTTAGCTGTTGGAGGGAGGTGTAGCGCGTATTGCTAAGCTTTGTCTGTATGGTGGCATTATCACCGCTCGAGTCTGATAGTCGGGCTTTCTTTTGTGATGGCTCCTCGGATGAGGCTTTCCCAGGTGTCAAGGGATGTTGCAGAAAGGATGGGGTAGTGTCGTGGCTGTGATGTGTCAGTGGTTGTGCTTGGGATAATTTTGGGGGATACGGTATACGAACGTCTGCAGGACTTGGAGAATATCCAGCTGTGCCTGTTTGATTCGTGCCTCTGATGTGCCTGTCCCGGTGGTGGTAGTAGGGTCGTCGCGTTTGCGCTTGTGGTCGTGGGCGGCGATTTGCTGGTGGTCGGCGGAGGGTGTGGTGTGAGGATGGCCGTTGACTGCTGCCGCTGCCATACTGTGCGTTGCGCGTAGTGATCTGCTGGCCAGCCCGGGGTCGCGCTTTGCTGGTGTTGGCGTCGGCGCAGAGAAGTTCGGATTTGGCTGGCAGACACGCGCAACCTGCGAATCCCGTGCCGCTGCCTGAGGCTGCCCAAGGGACAGCAATTCCCGAAAACCGTCGCACACCGCTCACCGCTCACCGCTCACCGCTCACCGCACGCCAGTCGCAAGACGCAGCTGCTATTTGCTGCAATACTCACGGTGGCTGTCTCGAGAAAAGTAATACATGTTTGCAAAGTCTTTGGTGGAAGTTTGTGTCCTCCCTCGCGCGTGGTTCACTACTGTTTGGCGCAAGCTTCGGCAGTTATCCGCAAAGTGGCCAGAATTCGTCGCTCGCCCAAGCAAAAGTCACTTCAGCAACAACAACACATTCGATGATCTCAACGAAGGAGATGGATCGAGTGTATGTGGTAGATATTCCAGGCGCTGCTAGTAATCCACTACGATTATTGAATTGGAGAAGATGACTCCTGAACGCCCTTGCGGAAAAGAACTACCACTAGAGGTGAACAAGTCCTAGTAACGGAGCTCCATACATACTAGAGGCTCAATGGCTTTACTTTAGCCTATTGTCGCTTCCTATTCTTCCTGTACCTTCCTTACTAACCTTACTATGCCTATTATCGCGATAAACCTCACTTAGACTCGCTACACTTCCGCGCCTTGTCTTATAATATTCTTCTTCTATCGATACTAATACCGATAGCGATAGTAGTAGCCGCTATAACTAGTATTCCGCGCGACCTTATTCTTAGCGTAGCTTTAGCAGCATCAGCTTTAGCATTAGTATTAGCTTTAGCTTTAGCTTTAGTAGCGTACTTACTAGTAGAAGGAGGAGAATATTTATCGTAAGTCGCAAGGCGTATCGCTATAGACTCGCTACTAACTCGCTCTAGACTTCGACGCCCTACGACTATAAATACCTACGATTTCTAGTACTATAGCGCGTAGATATAGTAAGAGCTGCTCGATTAGATAGCGATACCGGATAAAAAGAAAGTAGTATTAAATAGACTATAGAAATATAAGGCTATTAGAATTATTATAGAAACGGACTCTAGTAAGCTTATACTAGCGCTATACTACTACTATATACGCTCTAATAACTTTAAGTATCGTATACTTAATACTAAGGGCGAGTGTATCTACGCTTATTATAAGTATAAGGGCAAGTCTAGCTATACGGCTAGTATAGAAAAGGTTAAAAAAGACGATAGAAATAGCGAGCTAGCCGCGATATAGGCGCGAGTCGAGGCCGTAGAGGCAAAGAATACTAAACTAGAGGCAAAGATTAAGGTATTAGAAGCTAGGTTCGATAAGTTAGAAGGATATTGCCTCTCGTAGTTTAAATAGCTTAAGAATAAGGCTATTATTAAGTCTAAGGATGTATATACGATATAGAAGGAGCTATAGCTAAATAGCGATCGCGAGCTACTAGTAGATAATATTTAAGGAGCGAGTCTATAGCGAGTCTACTACGAGTCTACTATTCTATCTCTTCTTCTTTAGTCGTTAACTACGCTTTGTATTCTTAGCCTGTCTATTAGCCTGTCTATTAGCCTATCTATTAGCCTGTCTATTAGCCTATCCGCCGCTATTAGCTTGTCCGCCGCTATTAGCCTATCCGCCGCTATTAGCCTATCTATTAGTAGGTTGCTAATCCTTCGATTCGCTCGACTCTTTCGGAATAGGCGTGCCTCGCGGTATACTCGCGGTAGCATCGCCGCTTAAGTTAATTATCTTAGGCAGCTAATTCGTATCGATAACCTTCTTAGTCTATAGCTTTTCTTTCTTAATCTTAATGCTATTAACTACCTTTTACTAACTCGCTATATTACTCGCACTAGTACTCGTAGTAATAGTACTTAACCGATGTTTCCGCTTTTATTATTATTATTGCTTCTCCTGCTTAGTCTAGATATAGAGCTTAATCTCGTAGACTAATAATAACTTTGTTACTAGTTTATAGACCGTTAAAGCCTATCTAAGTAATCGAAGCGCCTTACTTACTAGCTTCTCTAGTTAATTAGTTAATTTATTAAAGTCTATATAGAGGAAGTAGTTAAAATAGTCCTAGGTCCGATTAATACTACTATCTAGTAGCTCGTAGGCGTCAATCCGGTCTATAATCTAGTCTATAAATGTTATATCGGCTTTAAGGAATTCTTAGTTAGACTAGGTATCCGTAATAGTAGTATAGAGGGCGGGTTTACAATAGAACTATGTCTTAGTTGTACTCGTAAGCTTAACTTCTATATACTAAGTATAGATCAAATAGCGGCAACGGTATTCCTATACTTTTAGGTCTAATAAAGCTAAAGCTAAAGTAGGTATTAGTAGACGTTGCGAGAGGCTCCGAGATCTAGCATTTAGTAGTATTCGAGTTGCTAGCTTGTAATACTAACTAGTAGCATTGCGTATAGTATTAGCCGCCTTAGGTATAGAGGGGAACGTATTAAAGCCTCGTACCGTACTCGCGGAGCTACTCGTAGCGGCGGCTACTAATTGCTCGCAAACAAATTACTCGGTTAGTAGATCGGGATTAAGAAGGCCGCATTGTAAATAGTATTAGTATTTACTATATATCTTTATATAGTCGACGCCTAATTTAGTACAATAGGTACCCTAATTAGTAGGTATTGTTAGATAAATAGAGGTAGAAATAGTAGAGGTTTAAGAAGGTTATAGATAAAATCGAACTAGAAAAAGCGACTCGCTATATACTCGCGGCCGGCTTATAGATCGGAGATTAGTATATATTATTTATAAACTTAATTAACCTAGCTTCCTAATTCCGAGCCGCCGCTAACTAACTACGTACTACTAATAGCTTATCTAACTCTATTAGTTCTAGCTCTAACCCTATAGCTATATGCTCCCTAGCTAGCTCTCGAAGAAGCAAGTAGGTAGAGCGGTAAAGGCGCTCTACATTATCGCTATTCTCGCTACTACTTACTAGATACGAGAAGCTATAAATCTATAATGCTATCTTATACTAAGAAAGCGTAGCCTCGGGCAAGTAGGCTTTAAGATCTAGGAATTAGCGAGTCTATTAGCGAGTCTATAGCGAGTCTATACTATAGAATCTAATATATACCGAATCCTTAAAGGTCTTGCTCTATATTATTAAGTATACTGTTAGGTATAGGAATACCTTAATAAGAATGCCTACTAAGCTCTAGATAATAGTATAGAATATACGGAATACCTAGTATAACGTATAGTCGATTAGCCTACTTCCGGATACGATAGCTATTCTAGAGGTAAACAAATTCGAGGACTTTATAACGTATAATTAGTATATAGATTACAAGGAAGGCAATCCGATCCGCTAGCAGTTTAGTATTATATAGTAACTCGCGTAGTAACTCGTAGAAATAGCCCCTTTATTACACGAGGGACGATTAGTAGTTAGGCAATAGTATAGTATTACGTAAGTATCTACGGTGCTACCGAAGTATATACTAGGCCCGGCGTGCTATGCCTACCGTAATAGTACCCCCGTCTAATAGGACGAAAGCTAGCGTACTAATAGTGCGAAGCTACTAATTGTTATATAAGGGACGATTAGTAGTTAGGTAATAGTATAGTATTACGTAAGTATCTACGGTGCTGCCGAAGTATGTACTAGGCCCGGCGTGCTATACCTACCGTAACACCCTCTAGCTATTTAGTATAAGTGCTTACTAACGCTACTATACCTTAATCCGCTAGTTTATTTTACTCGTACTGTATTTAAAGCAGTCCTCGAAGGCGAGCGGTTGTTCTTATTCCGGGTTACTACGAGTCGTAAGGCGAGTCTTATAGTAAGCGTCCGCGGCTAGAATCGTTTCTACCCTATAGTCTAATCGAATAATCTATAGTATTATACTACTATTCCGGATCGTTATAAGGTATTAAGCTAGTATAGAGATAGCTATCTAGCTAGTAATGCCTATATAGATCTAGACAATATAACGCAAGTAAATATTAATCGCTACGTAGATCTATATCCCCTAATGCTCGAATTTATAGTAAGCATCTATTAATATTGCGTAACTAGGGCCGGGTATAATAATCGCTCTATAGTGCTCTCGCGCCTGCTCGCGGCGGACTCGTAACCCTTTAGGATTTAGTAAGGAAGCTATACGATATAGCCGATCTCTACTAATATTATATAAGGGACGATTAGTAGTTAGGCAATAGTATAGTATTACGTAAGTATCTACGGTGCTGCCGAAGTATGTACTAGGCCTAGCGTGCTATGCCTGCCGTAATAGCACCTCCGTCTAATAGGACGAAAGCTAGCGTACTACAATAGCCGAGCTTCGATAGCCGAGCCCCTTCTTATATACTTCTTCTACTTTTTCCCGTTTTCCTCGTATTCGTACTATATATACTTATATTCGTATTATGTCGCGTCTACTAGCTATAGTCTTACTTATTAGAGTTAATTAATTCTAGTTCCGTCTTAGAGCTAGTAGCCTTAGCCTTAGTTGCCTTACCTTCCGTAAAGCTCTATAGTTTCTATATTTTTTTCTTTATAGACGAATCGCCGTCGGCTGCCTTACGCTTAGTTAGCGTACGCGTAGCTAGAGAGTTTAGGGTACGCGTAGACGTACGCGTAGATGCGCGTATAGCTAGACTATCGGAAGGGCCTACTATAATAGCGCGCGCGGACGCGCGCGTAGCTAGGCGCTAGGTAGCAATTTTTAGCGGCAAGAGGGCCTTAGGCTCGCTTAGCACTTATAGAGTAGATAGCTTTACTAGTAAGGCGAGCTTGTCGTCGGGTATAGCTACGTACTTAGACTTACGGCATAACTAACCTAGCGTCGGTAGTTGCGGTACTAGTACCTACGGTGCCGGTACCTAAGCTAGTAGAGCGCGCGTCTTCTATAGCGGCTAGCCGGGCTCGTCTATCGCTACGGTACTAACGTATATCTTAGCTTTTACTATAGTAGCGAGCTCGTCTAGCATATACAAGTATAGATCGGCCTACTATTAGGGTATAAGCGCTTCGTAACGTCTAGCGATGCCTTTTAGTCCTAGTCCTCGATAGAGGGAGATTAGGTAGTTGTCTTCCTTATTATAGTCGTATAGGATATCGTTTAGGCGTAGCGTCGTATTCTTCTTATAGGCCGATCTTAGCGTCTAGTCTCGATCCTTTCGTAGTATACGGCCTATTTATAGTTAGAGGTACGTAGTATAAAGGAAATAGTCGAGGGCTACGTCTATA